GGGAAGGGGGGAGGGGGGGGGGGGGGCAGGGAAGGTTTGTTGGCGGCTCTCACAGCCGAGGGACTGCCCGCGGCACCCAGCAGGACCCATCTCCTGCCCAGCAGGGACCGGTGCCCAGCAGAGTCACGCACAGATCCATCCGAAACACGGACCACCGGGCTGAGCGCAGCCTTCGGCGAGGCAAGGGCGAAGCCTCCTGGGCTGCAGCTTGACCTCCAGGAGGTGGTGGGGAGCTGTGCTAAGCTGATCCCGGTGACATTTGCTCGGAGGGGAGATGTGAGGGCCTCCAGAGAACAGGCACGTCGGCGCTGAGCCGGGCGGACAGTGAGGAGATGCTGAGCGTGTATTTTCTCTTCCTTTCCGAAGGAGCAATTTAGAAAGGAGCAAAGATGCTGCAACGTGGCAGGAAGGCTTGCTGCCGCAAACCGGCACCATTAGTATTAAGTGTCTCACTGTGCCACAGTCGAAGACGCTCAACATCTGTTAGGGCTCACGAAGACCATAAGTACATCTAGCTCTTAATTCCCAAATGGTACCTGCTAAGCAGCCTGCCCTCTCTCCCCCTCCAAAAATAACTGCTGAAATATTGGTGATAGGCCTGAGAACCAGCCAAGCAGAAAGACCGCAGGACTTCAAGGGACTTTGTCAAGTCTAAATAATTTATTTTCACTTTCTCCACAAAGAACCAGCATACAGTGCTGTATTCCTGAAGTCCTGCTCTCTCTTTTAAGCTCCTATTAGCTCTTACGCTGAACAGTTACATAGGATGTCAGATGGATCTTGATGGGATGCTCACCTAATGATGAACATCAAAGAAATGATCTTTGCCTGGTTTTTGTTTTGGCTTTTTCTTAGAGAGAATCCAAAATGTAAAAAAATATTTTATAATCAAATTTGCTTTTCTCCTAAATTTGGGGGGTTTTCAGGGAAGCAGCTAGATTGGTCTGATTAGCCTGTTTAATTTTCCGCTTCTGTAGCCTACTTTATTTGTCTCCTAATTAGCGCTCGGTGCCAAAATGCGGGTGAGTCTGGGGTTCAGTGGGTGCAGCTTGGGTTTAATTTGTGGGAGAGCAAGGAAGACTGCACAGCCAAGCCTCGGACGCGCGCCGCAATGCTTCGCTGGCTGGCTTTCGACACTTTTGTGCCTCCTCCTACGGCTGTGGTTTTTTAAGTTAGAAAGTGTACAGTTTGGGGCTGAAATCCTTGACATCATCTCTTTAAAAACTGAGTGCTTCGAGTGGTTAAAGGAAAAAACTCGCTTTCATGTTTTGGGACATAGAAGCTACTGTACCCGTAGGAGCCGCCAGCCTGCTAATTAGTGTCAGATGAAGATGCCTAAGATTAAGGTATAAGCAACATTATAGTGGATAAATGTGGGCTAATCTGCCACCGAGGGGACGTTTCCTTCCAACTCCAGGAAATTCTTTCTTTTATGTATTTTTTTAAAACCTGGCTTTTTTTTTTTCTTTTTTAATTTTTACTTGTGTTTTGTTGCACGATAAAGCTAAACCTGGCTGTGAAGCTCAGCCTAAGCTGTCGGGGTTTTCCTGAGATAGGAGGAGACAAAGAGTAAAACTGCAAGATGGAAGGAGTCTGCAATCCCAAGGAGCTTCCCACGATTCAGGAGTGGTTGTGAAAGCTGATAAGTCCCTGGTTTGTCCCCAGCGCAGAGGGGGGACAGAGTAGGGCTGAAGCCGCAGGGACTGCGAAAGCCAACTGTTGTATTGAGGGGCCTGGGCCACTGGGTACTGATTGCTGTTAGCAAACCTTCTTTTTAAATAAAAATACAAGAAATGAAATGTGCAGGGGGTTTATTTCTATTTTTTAGTGATTTTCATTGACTGCAAGGGTGAAAAGTGGGGCAAGACCATAAAATGCCATGCCAGTTAAATGGGGAGACCCTGTAACCTTCTTCACCAGTGAATGAGAGGGGAAGGCTGGGCTGATTTCCCCGTCTTGGGCAGATGCCGGTGCTCTGCCAGGGGGGCATCCAAAGCCACCAGGATGTCCTCACTGTGCCTGCAGAGACTGCTGAGCTGAATCCAACAGCAGCACAACAGGGGTGTGCTGGGGGGGGGGGTTAAAAGGGGATGGGAGGAGGGATTTCTGGTGCCCTTGAAGCAGCTTCTGGGTCAAAGCACAGGTAAGTTATAGGCAAAATTATTCAGGGGATGAAATTGCTAGTGATGTTTCTATTCCCAGAATGGGTCCTGCTCACCCCAACTTTAAAAATACATCAAACCAAGAGTAAGACCCTGCAGCTATTGAAATCTATGGCTGAGCTCCCATTTCACCTCGCTGCCGTGGGGGTTGGTCCCTGCTGAGTTTATATGCACAAAAAAACCCCCCACATCTAGAAACTTGCCCTTGCTTTAGCGGGCTGTGAGTGGCTCCTCAGGTTGGAAACACGCTTTATCATCATTCTTTCCAGCAAATAGCTGGGACCTGGCTCCACCAAGCCCAGCCCCTGCAGCTCGGCAAGCCGTAAAGCCTGTGTGCTGTTGATGAGCAATGGGAACGGAGTTTGGGGTTCACCTTCTGCTCTGCACAGGGAGTGGTGATGCTGGCAGTAGGTGGATGCTATCTGGGCTATTTTGGGGCAGCCGCCAGCCACCGAGCAGCCACGGGGCTGCAGCCAGGCAGCTGCCAGATGCTATGGGGACCGGCCGGCCCCACCAGGCTGCTGCTTGATGAATTTCTTCATGCCCAATTAAGGCTCTCCTGTCGTCAAGAGTGAAAGAAAACAAAACAAAAAAAAAAAAGAGTATTGATGCTATTCAGGCAGGGATGCAGGTGCATGTGTTGCACCGTGAATGTACTTAACTGCCCTGAATCACAGCAGCAGCTCCCTTCGGGCTGCGCTCCCCTGTACCACTACTCCCTCCAGCAGCGAGGCCAGCCCAAACTGGCAATGCTGGTGGCTCTGGGATGGGGAGCTCCCTCTCATGGGTTAGGCACATTTGTGCCAAAAGGCTTTTGGATGGTAGTAAGTGACCTGAATTTGTAAAATAGAGGTAAATTTGAGTCTCCACCCAGCTAAGCCCACAGTCTGGGGCTGTTTCTCAGCGTGTCTTTTGGGGGCAATGGTTTAACGGGTGCTTCTGGCTAAACCCAGCATCCTTTTCCTCGCCTTGTGCCTCCGGTGTGTTCTACCCCTTACAACAGCTTGGGGATAAGGGTCTGGTCTTGCCCACTCAGCCGAGCCACGGCCAGGAGCACAGCTGCCTGCACTGCTTTGCTTTTTAATCATGGTTTGCCTGGTTGCATCCCAGCCTTCAGATCTGCCACATGCTTCTTTGTGTCTCTGGGCTACCGGCCAGCCCAGCCATGGAAGCTCGCCGCACCCTCCGACGCTGCCCAGCATCGTGGCAAGCACGCCCTCGCTCCTGTTTTCCTCTCCCCTCGATTACTCCAGCGATTTTGGTCCCCGGTGAACAAAGCTGGAGGAGCCAAGCTGTCATAACAGACCTGGCCAGGCCGAACAAGGAGCCTTCAGATGAGAAGTTTAATTCGGCTCTCGCCACGCTCGTTGCTCTGTGCATGCGCTGCAGAGCCGGGCAGAGGAGGAATGCACTAGCACAGCACTTCCCTTCTTCCTACACAAGTATATATATGTAGCAGTTGCTGTCCTGGGGGAGATTTTGCCCGTATCTTGCACTGGCACAGTTTGGCTTCTTGGGCCAAGCTGCAGAGACCGCGGGCTCCGTGCTGCCAAGCTCTTCTCTACTTAATGCCCACGCTGCCTTATTTAAAGCTGACTTGGGTGAGTTGCAGCGGCTCCTCTGAACTGCAGGGCAGGACCCCGGCTGCCTCCTGCACTCCCCTCGCCCCGGTAGGGCTGGCAGAGGAACCCCATCCCTCCCCAGCCGCTGAACAAGAGGGGCCGAGGAGGGACGACCACCTTCCTCTGAGCGCTTCATGAGCCGGGTCTGAGGGCAGGGTCAATAACTAATCCTCTGCTTCCATCACAGCCCAGATAATTCGTGAACAAATAGTCCTTGCGAATCAAATTGCAATTTTTTTTTTAAATCTTTCAAGCTGCCTGAGGGGTTTTTTTTACTGCTAAGAACCAACTGGTGGTCACCTCTGTGCCTGGGAAGATCATGGAACAGATCCTCCTAGAAGCTATGCTAAAGCACATGGAGGCCAGGGAGATAATTCGAGATAGCCAGCATGGCTTCACCAAGGGCAAGTCCTGCCTGACAAACCTGGTGACTTTCTATGATGGAGTGACAGCATCAGTGGACAAGGGACAACCAACAGACGTCATCTATCTGGACTTCTGCAAGGCCTTTGACACGGTCCCCCACAACATCCTTCTCTCTAAATTGGAAAGCTATGGATTTGATGGGTGGACTGTTCGGTGGATAAGGAACTGGCTGGATGGTCGTGTCCAGAGGGTAGTGGTCAACGGCAC